CAAGCCCGCGGAATCGAAATTCGCGAGCAAGACGACGACCGAGTTTAGATCTCGATGTTTAGCAGCGTGCGCGGCATCGGGTATCGATCGAATGGGATGCCATGGGAGAGAGGTGTGTACGGGAAGAAGGAAGGAAGGAAGGAAGGAAGGAAACGTCGGTGCGAGAGAACGGGAGTCGGTGACTATGGGCAGGGAGCGGGGTAAAAGGGACGAAGGATGGATGAGAATGACTAGTAGGTACGTCGCTCTATGCCTGCTAATCATCGTCGCTTTTACTCGAGTAATCGAAAGCCTTCTAAGGAAAGGAAGAAGCTAGAGAGGCGCGGGAACGATATCGTTGGACGAACGGGAAAATCGAGCACTCTCGATCGCAGGTTACAGCTTGCTAAAGCAATTTCCAAGGCGTCGCGCGTCGCGCGAGTGCGTGGCTCCTCGAAACGTCCGAATCCGAGGGGTGAATCTCTCTCCGTCGAGAGAGGGTGTGAGTCATCGGTGGAACCCCGCGGAAAACTGCGAAACTTTCTTCCGGTGGAATGTCTGGAAGGAGGGTGGTCGGCAACGAGAAGCGGTGAGTCATCGAGCGATGGAGCAGAGATCGCGTCGGTTCGATTTACCCGTGACAAAGCATCCCCGCGGTAGCCACTCGTAAAGCGGATGTGCCGTTGCCGAAGAAAATTTCGGCAAGAAGATTTTTCGATTTCGTAGGAATTTCGTAGGAATTAGGAAAGAAAGGTAAGGAGAGAGGCAAAGAATCACGGTCCTTGGAGCTCCGGTCGACCTCGTTCTATCGATTTACCGGGGAAAGCCGAGCAGAAGCGACGCGAAGAAACATTCCGGGCAGCTGCGTTTTCCGTTCTACCGTCGCGGAGAAACACCTGCACCGAACGATCTTGGTTCTCCGTTTATCGTCTTATCTTCGAAACCAGAGACAACGGCGAAAACTTTCATCGAAGCGATCGATTACGGGAATACCTAGCGTATATTCGAATACGCGGCCAACTTAACCATCATCGCGCGTCGAGCTTTCGACGAAACATCGATTCCGTTGAACCTGAACGATCTAGAAATAGCCCTGTTCGTAAAATATACACGCTCTTCTTGCGCGGATTATCCTCGGTGGTAGTTGGTTTATCTCTTCGTAGTCCACCCTATGAAATCGAAAGGGGGTGTTACGCATTTGGAAAAACGAAACCATCTTGCCTACTATCCATCGTAGACGGTTTAAAAACGCCTTTAGAAAGGTTACCGCGATCGAAAATACACTGGGTCACGGGGATACGGTTAAAAGAAATCATAAAAGAAAAGAATACGATTAAGAGATATCTCGCGCTTACGCGTGGCATGTATGGCGAACGCTGCACGTCACAGCTGTATCCGCGGTAACGACGCGACGAGTGACACGCGGGAAATCAAGTTTTCCGAAACCGCGAGACAAGGATGCGAAAACATTTACGCGAGCCACGAGGCGGTTATATATCGGAACGTAGACGTTTCGATGGAAAATCGATTTCCGGCAGAGGTTCGTCCGGGATCGCGCGAGCAACGCGTAGCCGCGCTTCGCGCTGCTATTCCTTCTTCCTTTGTCGCGGACGTGCATCGATCCGCGCCAGAATCGGATGCGCTTTACAAATTTCCACGCAAAGTTAACTCGCGACCAACTCGAATCACGGTATTAATCGTTTCGACCGGATGGATCCGTCGCTCTTTCTCTCCTCGCGTCTTTTCTTCTTCGATCATTCGCTTAACGCGGTTCCATTCGAAATAACGCGAGTTTTCCGACAAAAATCCGTATCGTTCGTACGAGAACCGAATAAGAGAGTAGACGAATAACCGGAGATTCTCTGGATAACGATTGGCTCCGTTTTATACACGGTACACGGGTCCACGATCACGACGCATCGTCGATGTCGAATTTTCTCCATCGTCCAACCGAATGGAAAGTACGCGAGTAGATAGCAGCGTAATTCAGCAGATTCCTGCGTAAATATCAGAACAACTGCAATCGTCCTGTCTCGTCTAGCCGATCTTTTCGAAAACGCGCGTCGAAACGTCGAATCGATGTTCTCGTATCTCTGGCTAAACGCTACCGACCCAACGACTCGCGATCTTGGATTCGCCTAGATTGTGCTGCAATTTCCATGTTCCACGGGGAAAGAGGAATAGAAAGCTGAAAGAGCAGCGGAAAGGCGAACGCGTGGACGAACGCGTGGACGAACGCGTGGACGAACGCGTGGACGAACGCGCGGACGAGCAGGGACACGAACGGTTCGAGGATGTCGAAGCGCGCGATCGGTCGACGTCGATAATCGAGGTGTCGATGCCTCTGACTGCTGCAAGCGGACGCTGTAGGCAACAGTGGTGCGCTAGCCATTGGCAGCCTGCCAACTACTCCTCGCCATCCATGCCTTCGGTGTTGACCGACAAACAAAAGGGACCTCGACGTATTGTCCTCGCCGAGAGCGAATGCAGGTCGAGGATCCATCCAACAGCCGGCTCCCGTTCTCGACCGATATTGCATTCCGTAAAGGACGATCGGCATGCTCGTCGCCGACGGGGTTCGATAACTTTCCTTCCCAACCGACTTTATCCTCCGCCATTCGTCCGCTTCGTGCACGCCTGTTCGCGCAACGATGCCCGAACCGAGCTAAAATCTCTAACGCCACGGTTAATTATAACCGATACGCGTCGCGATAATCGAAGATAGACACGGTGACGGTAGAGTGGCGTTAGGGTCGGCGAAAAGGGTAGAGAATGATCGGACGCAACGTAACCACGACGTTTGATCGACAGGAGCACGAAACGGCAATCCCGAGCTAATGCTCCGCGAAAACGGAAAGCCATCTGTATCGAGCGTTAATCTTTCCCTTCCCTTTCCCTTAAAAGACAAGTCGATCGATTCGAATCGCGAAACAAGGTTGCGCTAGGTTCGGAACGCGAGGAAAACGCGAGGAAAACGCGAGGAAAACGCGAGACACAGTCTCGAACGACGCTCGTTGTCCTCGGAGACGTTTCGGAAATGGAAATAATCGGATGTAACTGGAAAGAAACGAACCGTGGAAAATGCGAACGTTTCTTTCGTAAACGAAATCGATAAAAGACAAAACGGATCCCTATCGAAAGTGGACAAAATTTTTCCTTTCGCCTTTCAGATTCTCGTAGCGTTTAAAACGCGACTCGACGGTTAATTCGACGATCGACTCTACCAGTACGACGGCAACGACGACAACGACGACGACAACGACGACGACAACGACGACGACGACGACGACGACGACGACGACGACGGGGACAGCGACGATCGTCTGTTCGGTAAGTAAAGTAGACGGATCGTTTGGTCGAGAGCAAAAGAGAAATGCGATTGGCGCGAAAGAAACGAGGAGGAAAAAAGAAAGAAACGGAGAAGAGATATCGGTAAAAGATATCTTGGCGTAATAAGAAACGGAACGTCGAGAAATCGAGATTTTAATTTGCAGCTTCTTTGAATATCCTGCACGAGGAATAGGTCAACCGTCGAGAGATTACCTTTTCCGGCCTCGGACGCGATTGTCTCTCCGCGATAATAAATACTCTTTCCTTCTTCCTTCCTCCAAAGGAGAAATAACGTCAAACGAGCAACGGGACTCGTTCCTTTTTCTTTCGCATCAGGGTCAGTTTGTTTGGTAAGAGTCGGTCGCAAAGTCTCCACGGTATCTTCCCCGTCTTCCATTCGGATCCTGTCGCGAAGCAAGATCAGCAGCAATATCGGGCTAAAAAAGAATTTCCACCCAAGTAATCATCTTGGAAAACCAGCTTCTGTCGTCAAAGAAACCAAAGAACCGACTTTGCTAAGCCGAGGGTATAAGAAAATGCCAAGGGAGAGGGAGAGAGAAAGAGAGACATGGTCTTAAGAGCACTGGAATTATCACGGTACGCTAGCCATCCTCTGTTTCGACCCTTTTGTATGGCTCGGTTCTGCGATTGTCGCTAAGCGCTAAGCCGCTCCATCATTTTTCTTCCATCCGTACCCGTCATTGTCGCCGCCACGCTTTCGCCATCGTGCAAGCATCGAGGTGTTCACGCATAGACGCGATGCGTAATTATCCCCGCAACTTTACCAACAATCGTCGCACACCCTTCGTCGCGGCTTTCCCTTTTCTCATCCTATTCTACCATCCAACGATATCGCTTATGCGCAATGCCTCCTGTTCCAGTTCTCTCGATCCAACCTTTCTAATTCCATCGCGCGATCCATCTTTTCCACCCCCTATTCCCAGTATCTCTTCCAACTTATTTTCCAATTCCGCTCCTTTCTACATCTTTTTACAATCCTTTTTAGAATCTTAGCAAATTCTTCTCGCTATCGAGGAATTCTTCGTTATCGAGGAAAACGAAATATCCTTGTTCCGTGGCGAAAGCATCCCCTTTCGGATTTTCCGGATTTTCCGGATTTCCCGGATTTCCCGGAAAAGTGGCCAACGAATTCGCTGACTCGTTTCCCGTTTTCTGTTTCAGACGGCGCTGTCACCGCCAAAGATGTCAAGCCTCCGTAGCGATTGTCCCGAACTAACATCTTGGTAACATTAAGACGCCTGTACGAGAAACAAAGCAGAACACGCGGTAAGTGTTTTAAACGCGATCGCGATTCGTTAAACTTTCAACTCTTTCGATGGGAGAGTAAGGATCGATCGAGAGCGACGAGAACGAGACCGGCAAACGTAAACCAGGCTCGTACACTCGCGGTAAAGAGAACAAAGAACGCTATCCCCGAACGTTACTCAGTTGGCTAAATGGTATATATACATAGGCGTTATACATAGGAGGACAATAAATGGTGAAAATACCGCGAAGCTCGGGGACAACGGTCTCCCATTTTAAACGCGCCACCTATTAAAGTCGAATCGACGGAGATTCTGGCTGGAAAGTAGCGAATTTACGCATGTTCCATTAGCCTCGAAATCCAGGCATCTAGTCCCGGAATACAACGACGATGAACCAACGAAACGTTTCTCTTTCAGAACAAGATGTCAATGACGGGAAGCTTAATGGGTTACGAGAACAATAACGATGTAAATCAAGCGAAATGTAAGAAGCCGTTAAAACCGCTTCCGATTGTGTCCAGCATAAATTCCAGTGGGATTACGACTACCAACAAAACGAAGAAACCACGAAAGCTAACTAGACGTAACTCTTGCATACGAGGACACGTGAATAGTCTATGGTCCGTCTGGTACGGCGTTTTGGCGGTCGCTTTTCAAGCTTACATCGGCTTGAGATACGCCAAGAGATTCGCCGGTAAGTAAAAAGACATCTTTATTTATTTTCCGAATCGAAAGAAGGAAAAGATGCGAGATTTCGCGGGATTTCGCGGGATTTCGCGGGATTTCGCGGGATTCGGAGGAAGGAAATCGGATCGCTTACGCACACGCACGCATTTCGATATACACGAAACGCGTTTCGATATAACGTTCGTTTACCTTTACAGCGTATTTATCGTTACCTTGGCCCGCGGACGCTCCGCCACCAAAGGTAGAATTATACTCGTGTCTGGTGCTAGCCGGTGCCGGGGTCGTTCTGTTGCCGGTTCTGCTTGGCGCAGCCTTTCTAAAGCTCGGTAATCTGGCGAACGATGGAGTGAAACTTGGTCGTCATCTGAGCGCGTGTTCGCGCGATCCACCTTCGTCGTTGCTTACCAACAATCCTGACCACAGTAAGTGTATACCTCGTTCCGGTTTCCTTTACTTTCGCATTAAAAGCGACAACGATTAGTTCGGTGCAATTCGCAGGTTTGGCTAATAATTTATGGCGACACGGAGGACCCACGGCTGCTTTCGTACACCTTTGCACAGCCATGTGTTTCCTACTGCCTTCGTTGCTTATGGAAGCTAGGCTGATACACGCTGGATTTTTGCCGAAAGGTAACCTTAAAGATAACCTTAAATATAGAATAATTGACCGACACGCTTGTCGCGTTAGCGTATTAAAAAGAAAGGGAAGAAAAAAGAAAAAGTAAATATTCTTCTCGATTTGTATGCAAAATAGACGCAGAGCGTATCTCGTCTATTGGTCGTTCGAAGATTGCTTCCGTTTGTTTCTTAACACGAGCAGAACACGTCTATCAGGATTACAACCCGATTTTCCCCTTAATCGCGATTATCACCCTTTAATTTCCAACCCTTCTTTTCGTATCGCATCCCTTCATTTAGCATTCCCTGCTAAAGGGTATGCTTGCCGCGTATTTTCCTCGTATCTCGACTCGAAGAAATTTCCATCGAATCGATGACGCGATTAATCGGTCGCGTTTCGAATTCAGATCACTATCGTTATAGGGTAAAACGACTCGCGCATGGAGAATGGGGCGTTTGGAATGTAACGGGGCAACTTCGTCCTGACTACGTTCTGGTTCGCGTATTGATCGGCCAGGTGTGTGCATACAGCTAGCTGCAGGATTTCTCCTTCCTCCAATCCTTCCACCTTCAATCGCTTAACCGTGTACCATCTTGTTTCCCGGACTAAATTAACCTATACGTCGATTCGTCGTACACGCACGCATCCCTCTCTTCGTCCCTCTATTCCACTTTGTATAGTCAAAAAGTGAAGAACGAAAAAGAAAAGAAAAGAAAAGAAAAAAACCACCTGACCCCATCGGCAAGATTTCATACCAAGTGATATTTAAAACCAAGCGATATTTCTCTCGTCCCTTGCGTAACCAAGCGCGTAATCTCATCGCGTGATCTCTTCGCGTGATCGGAATCCGAAAAGCACGAAACGCGTAATCGTACAATAGCATATGTCACGGTTAAACGTGTGTTCGCGTTGAGAAACGAATTCCATGCAAACCACTGAACATCTCGCCATTTCTTTTTCTCCTTTATTATTATCGAACAGTTTGTACGAAAAAAAAGAAGGAGAAAGAAAAGGAAAGGGGGGAAAAGATGAAAAAGCGAGATGGTCGAAACTATCTCGGTATTCTATCTCGGTGGTTGGTATTTTACAGAAACGATATGGCGTACGGATTTGGATTGGTTAGTGACTCATCGTGATCGACTGGTCGTATCGAGCTTCATGAATCCGAACGTAAATCTTAGCATCCTAACCGGTTTTATAACGCCTCAGCCTTTTGTCACTTTAACGCCCGACAACGAAGCCGATAATACAGCGAACGACGCAGCCACTACGAAGTCGCGGTTCATCGATACCGTTAATAAATCGATCGCGATCGAATCTTGGCCTCGGGAATCTACGAACAGGTACTTTGATCTATCGCGACCGGCGAGTACCGAACCATCTGCATCCGCTTCCGTTCTACCTACCGACAAAGTCGTAACGCCCGCCATCCAAACAAGTATCATCGATAGGCGAAAAATACCGTCCACGTTGAACGCGACTTCAAATTCGACATGGCCAATTGCTACGAGCGGTGCAGCTTCGTTAACGACCACGGCGACGGCGACGACGGCCAGTGCAGCTGCGGCGAGAACAACTACGGCAACGATTACGACAACGACGATAAAAACGACAACGATGACGACCACGACCACGACCACTACCACCACGACCACGAGGACAACGAGCAACGCGAAAGCACCGACAAAGACGGTAGAAGCAGCAAAGATGGCAGTTGCGGCAGCGGCTGCTGCTGCTGCGGCCGCAACTGCAGTCGCGACTGCTGCTACCACCGTAGCAGCCACATTGACATCGACGCTCGCTTCGGCGTCTAGCTCGACGATGAAATACGGAAATACCGTTAGACGGCCGATCGCTACCAAGACGATCGTTAGGAGTAATAATTCGAAGAATAAATCGAAAACGAAAAACGTAGGAAGATGGTCGTCGTCGACGACGACGACGACGACGACAACGACGACGACGACGACTAAACCTGGCAAGAGTAGCTCCGTTGGAAATATGACCGCGCAGAGTATGTCGTTAACGATGAACAGCTTGTCCGATTTGGATCATCCGGAAAAATTGAATCTCGAATTTCAAGCGTGTAAGATATTTTTCTTCCATTTTCCAACCACTACCGCGTTTTATAACCTTCCTACCTACCTACGTATCTTTCTGTCTTTCTTCTTTCAGCCGAATCATACGGACCTATCACGTTGGAGTACTTGAATTACGCGATCGCTCTTGGCGTATATTCCGTGAGGTATCCAGCGGTGTTTTGGTCGTGTAACAAGCCGTTGGCAACAATTTTTAGCTTTCAGTTGATCGTCAATTCCGCTCAGAGCTTACTGGCCTATGTTGGAATGTCCGTTCTATACAAGGCGAGTAACACGAGGCTATAAATTCTCACCTTACGAACTTTATTCCCGATATCGGCTCGTTACCTTAACCGAACGTTCGCGCGTTATCTTTAGGTTCAAGTGATCGGACCTTTGAAAGTGCTACCCGTTCTTCGACAACAGTATCGGACGATATCCACTACCAGTAGCATATCCACTATTTTCGGGGACTCGTATTTTTTGCTGAATCCACACGTCACTCTCGTCTTGTTTGCCCTTTCCTCCCTGTTGGTGCTTTGTTCCAGCATGGTGATGTATTTCTACGCTTATGGCAGGTAAGTCGTTTCCTCGCGTCTCGTCCGAGGCGAAACGAAACGGAGACTAAGAAAATTTCTCCGATAAACAGGTTCACGGCATTTCTGAACCAGGAACGCGAGCGAAGAGTGATTTTCTCGAAGGAGAATCGAAACGGAAACGGCTGGATATACTTTATTCATTGCACCGCCCTGTGCGTGTTCTTGGCGATCGCGATCTGTAGCGCGCCACTGCTTTACGACTACTGCGTGGTATATCGTGGCAGTTTGGACGGTGCGATTCTAGCCTGCGTTGTCGCCACTGTTCTACATTTATTCCTTTGGCTACTCTTATGGATCTTTCTCACGATCAAGCAACGTTGGACGTTCAAGCTGCGAGTGACGATCGGTCGAGCGACCGTGAGGTCAGCCAGGTCCGTGAAGCTCGTAACCGACGTCGATCTACTGTCGGCCAGAGACGACGACGACGCAACGAACGCTCCGTTGTTGGTGGTTGGTAACGGTAGAACTTACACGATCGCCGATTCTTCGCCGAAGAAGGCTATCATGAGCGTGATTCAAAAGGCGGCTATCGAAAGGAAAGCGCGCGCTCAAGGTAAGACCGAGCGTGTATTCCGAACGATCGAGAATACTTGTTTCTTACTCGACGCATGCCCATCGGCCGATCGATACGCATCGTTCTGTTCGAAATTGCAGGAAACGGGGACTCGGTTAACGGCTCGGAGTCGGTAGCCGACGATGAACAGATCTATTGGTTGAGACCGAAACTACGCCCGTCGCCGACTAGGTCACCCAACGATGCGAACGGTCCACCGACCACGGAAAAGGGATGGCTGAACAAGAAGTTGAAACCCAAGGTCACCTTTAACGACCTGCCTAGTACGTCAAGCTCGCGGTAACTACCCTCCTCCCTCCTCTTGATGTCTTTCTGTATGTATCGTTGTGCCCGTGCCCGTGCCCGTGCCCGTGCCCGTGCCCGTGCCCGTGCCCGTGCCCGTGTCCGTGTCCGTGCCCCAGCCTGTGATCATGACCGTAACCGTGATTGTAACCGTGATTGTAACCGTGATTGTAACCGTGATTGTAACCGTGATTGTAACCGTGATTGTAACCGTGATTGTAACCGTGATTGTAACCGTGACCGTCCACATGCTCGTGTACACTTTCGCGTCTCTTTTCTTTCCGTACCGACTAAATTTATCCAAATAACGTAGATTCAAATCTGCTAGAGTATGCCTCTTTCGAATGCTTCGGATTCAGATCCGAGCGCTAACGTCTCCGTATCGCTAAGAAAATTACCCTTCGTCTGTCGTCATAGCCTGTGTTTACCCGCAGAATTTCCTGCTTTAGCTACAATGTATTTTTACAGTATTCGTTGCGCTTAGAGTATTCGAGCGAATAATTTGCTATCGATCCTATTCTCACCTTGAATTTTTTTTCTCACTTAATCCTAACCATGATCGTATCTCGTGCTTATGTACGTACGTACCTATACGCGTGTTGGTCGATGTTATCATTTGCGCGGTTTTAAGAACAAGATAACTTTCGAAATTCGTTAACTCTTTCAGAGGATGTAACAACGATGCTATCTATCACCCTTCTTTACAATTTCGTAGAAATCGCGTTTAAAAGGAATAAAGAAAATAGCATCGATATCGAGCATCGAATCGCAAAGGGTTAACGACGTACGTATATCTACCGCAAGCACGTGTATTTATCGATTTTGCTTTATCCTTCCCATTTTCGCTTCTATAACGATACTGGATGAAAAATTGTACTTATCACAGCGAAAGTTCCTACGTTCACGGCCAATTTACCATTGCATTTTCTTCCTTCCCTTCCTGCCCTCTTTTTCTTTTTCTTTTCCTTTCCTATCCTTTCCTTTCCTTTCCTTTCCTTTCATTTCCTTTCACTTTCTATTCTCCTCTCTCCTCTCCACTCTTTCTTCCTCTATCTATCCGTTTATTTCTCTCCCTCTGTCTCTCTCTATCTATCTGTATATCTACTCATTCATCTCTCTGGATAAAAGATGGATATCCTTACTTTCCTCGCAGCCCTCTTAGCAAACCTTAAATATCCGTATAAACTCGGTATAACGTACTACGACGCGTTACTTTTAAATTGCAGTAATAAAGGAAAAGTCAGACGAGGCACCGGTGACGGGGGCCCTGAAGATGACGGCGATTATGCCACGTTACGAGAATTACCGCTGATTACATCTCTGGACCCAGCCGAGGATTCAACGTCCGAAGAGAACAAGGTATTCCATCGTTTCGTTTGCGTACCATTTGCTTCGCGTGAAATTTCATTCGCGATAAATGTCTCGTTAATCGCGAAACACTTTGCTCGCGTACCCATCCACACTTCGGCTCGTTCGTTCCTCCCTCTTCGACCTTTAATTTTGCGCTTTGCTTTTCTTTCATAGCGGAAAAGGTGGCTGATATCTCGGACAGACAGAGCATGCCTAAATTTGGAATTTAATCGCGTTGACGCTTCCAAGCGATACTAACATTCGCTACTCCCGTGTCTTTCCTTTAGCTACCTATTAACGCGTGGTAGAATAACTCTCACAGATAAACAGTTGCAATCGGTTCGTATGGATTACGATGGAATGGAAACGATGAAATTACGTTATAACCAGTTTCTTCGAGCTTCCATTTAGACTCTCTCTATTCTTCGAATTATATCGTATCACCTCCAGTAGCAACCGTGTCGATTCATATCGTACATCAGCTTGTATAACAGAATACTATTGACGATGTATATGCGCGGAAATTGACAAAACACGGTAGAGAAAACTCGATTAAACTACGAAGGGATCCGCTTCGATATAGGTTTGATTAAAAAAAAAAAAGTAAAAATACATTTGGTCAAGGCGTGTATAGACTTACGAGAGTCGTTTGCACCATTGTTTCACGCTGTATATAACGCTATATATATATATATATATATATAACAATACGTATTCGCGTCTTAGCAAAATTCCGATAACTCACCGCGACAAACTGTGTCTTCTGTAGACTAGATCTGTACGTTCGTATACGTCTTTCACCGTAACTTTCTTTCTTAGTCTTACTCTTTCTCTCTCTCTCTCTGTAACCGCGTCGCAGCGGAATTGGCATTTCGCTTAGCAATTAATCGTTGCAAACGTTTCAACAGCTGCTCGAGTGCGTGAACGACGACCAAGTGACTTACTACGCGAGTGCGAATCGCGATCTGCAACCTTCGGAAGGCGACCCTTCGCCCCTATTGACTCCAGACCCTTTGTCCGATCCCAGTTCGGAACCACTTCCATTGCCACCTCCGACTCCGACTCCGATTCCGATTCCGACTCCGACTCCGACTCCGACTCCGACTCCGACTCCGATTCCGATTCCGACTGCGACTCCAACTCCGACTCCGACTTGTGCACCGACTACCGAAGTTGTCACGGCGTTACTAACCACTAACACCCAGGTACTAACAATTTTCTCGTTCTCCATGTTTGGTCGTTTTGTAACGAGCGAGCAAACTGTTTGCGGGAAATCGTATCGTATCGCGCGATATTGGTAAGGAACGTGGCAAGGAACGGGTGAAGGAACGGTTTGCTCGCTCTTTGCGCGACATGAGTAATATCGTATCCTGCTTTCCTTTCTTTTCAAATTGTAAATGACGGGCAGAGATGAAAGAGAGAGATGAACGCGTGCGAAATAAGAGCGAAGGAAAAGCAGCGTTAAAGCGTAACGTAGAATTGGTTAGCGTTGAATGAAAAGAAAAGAGAAAGAGAAAGAGAAAAGGAAAAAAAGAAAAACACGCGGATACACGTTGATTTCAGACAAACGGAGGACAAACGCCACGATGTTTGCGTCGCGCAGACTCGGGAATGCCACACGAGGAATTGACACCCCGTTCGGATTCCTCGAATTCTCCACCGCTGGACGCGGCGGCGGCGGGCGGAAATAGCGGCGCCGGTTCAGTGACGGGGCATAGCAACGCGAGCAGTCACAGCGAAACGTCTTCGAGCGGCGTGCACAGTAACGCGAGCAACGTAAGCAACAGCAGCTGTCAACGACGAGCGACCAGTGCGGACGACGTGACCGTTGCTGCCGGTGGTAGCAACGAGCTACGAGACAACGAGGAATCGCGCGATCAATGGCGCAGTTGTTCCCTGCAACGAGGAATACAACCACCATCGGCAGCCGTCACCTTTTCACCGCCGAATAGTCGTCCCGGTACCAGTCAGTCTTTCTCCTCGCCGCAGTACGCGAATCACGTGCCGCTGTTCGCGAACGCGAACATGAGCGCGAACACGAGTGCGAACTCGAACGCGAACGCGACCGCGACCGCGAACGCGAACGCGAATGCGAACGCCAGCACGAACATTAACGCGAACGATGTCGCTGGCAGTACGGTCGGACAAGGTTGTCCGGCGGTTATCCTCGAGAATCCAAACGAAGCGACCGTGGTGATACGACGGAAATTATCGAGGACAAAGCTAACGGACCCGTTGAATCCGAACGAGGAGCCGTTTGGTCGATCCACCAACATGAGAATGACGTCGTTCACCGAGAGCAACGACATTCGCGTACACGCTTCATCCGCCACTTTGCCACATTATCCGACTCAACCGGTGGTCACGTATCCGCATTGCTCCACGATGCCACTGCCTCACGCTTCTCACAGCATGGCCGGATCTCACATGGGTGGATCGAGCGGAAGCTGTGGTTCGGTACCGAGGCACACTTTCGTCCCGCCGCAAGTGCATTCGACGGTACCAGCCCACACCACTTTACCCTCGCATCACAACGGCGTAAGACTGCTGCACGGTGTAGCACCGACACCGAACAATCCTTTCGTCAAGAGGTTCCCACCTGTTCACTTGCACACGCAACCCTGGGCATTGCCCGGTCATCATACTTTTCCCCAAGCGTCTCAAGTTAACGGCAAGTTAACGGCTACGGCGCAGATCAGACAGAGCGACCGTGACTCGGCCAATTTTTCCATGGCCAGTAGCGGCGATTCCGACACGTGTTTGCCTCATTAGACAGCCTCAGCTGCCACGCACCGATCATCATAGATTCTAACCTTTTTTTTCTCTTGCCCCCCTGCATTACCATCGCGACCGAAAACGCTTCTCCGGATCGCTTCTCTCCGAGGCAAGAAAAAGTCTATCTCTTAGACTTTTCCAACGCCAGATTTATCGCGATCACGAATTTTCCTTGTATCGCGTCGTATCAGAGACAAACCTATTACCACTGCTGCTACTACTACTACTACTACTGCTACTGCTACTGCTACTATTACCACCTCCACTATCACCACCATCACCACCACCACAACCACCACCACCACCACCACCACCACCACTACCACTATTACTACTACTACCACTACTACCGCTACTACTACTACCACTACCGCTACTACTACTACTATTACTACTACCATTACTACTACTATTACTACTACTACTACTACTACTACTACTACTACTACTACTACTACATATCATACTTTCGCGATTCGATTACCCAAAGGAACGTCCGACACACACGGTTGCGTTATTTTATTTTCGATACAAACACCGTCTGTCGCGACGACGTTCTGTCCCGTTCTTCCATATCGATTATCTCTCTCCATATACGTACATACGCGTATCATTATCCGGTGGATACATTCGCGCGTGAACGATCCACCGCCCATTCTCGAGCCGGCATCACCAGTAGCGATTCGTTCGGTTACTCGAAGCCTACGATTCGCGATAAACATATCTCTCGCGGAAAGCGCGAATCGGTGCTTGCACCGCTCACGAGCCAGTAATAACCGTATACTAGACTTGCGTGTAAGGTCGATGTATCAAAGAAACCGAGCTACCGAAAAAACCTCCGCCTTTTTCGAATTTCTCTCGAATTCTGTACTTTTCGACTTTTCACCGCGTATATTCAACCGCACGTAAAGCCGCCTCTGTATGGAATAAAAAGAAAAAAGAAAAAAGAAAAAAGAAAAAAGAAAAAAGAAAAAAGAAAAAAGGAAAAAAAAAAAAACGCAAACTAGTCGAGAGCTTGGTAGGACGAATAACGAGCAAATTTCGCGAAAGCAAAGTTTAGTAAGCGCGTATGCCGCTTGAAATCAGAGGACGAAATAAATAGTAGATCGAAGAACGGAGCAAAAATACGTTCAGTTCTTCCGTTTGCTCGCTCGCTCGCTCGACCGTTCGCTTTTACGTCGAGCAACGTCGTTGCGGTCTAGAGCGGTCTAATCGAGCTCCTATCGAGCTTTCTCCTTTATCGCAAAAAATGTATTCAACGAATAATATTCCGCTAAAGCGAACCGCGAAGCTCGCGTTCAGCGTTTATACCTAAACTTATCCTCGCGTTATTCGAAAACGGCACAAGTCTGATCTCGCGCGATGCGATAACGATATCGATCGATACGAGCTGTGTGGGTGATCGTATTAGAAAGGACGTTAAGAAACGAACGATTACTGCCATTGTAATAAATATAATCGCAAGGATCTCTCTAGATCTTCGTTGTATCATATACTTAAAATTAGTTAATCGACTGCCATGTTATTTCGTCCCGTTTCACGGATTCGAGCGCACCACCAGATGCGCTTCTCTCCTTTTCGTTTTGTCCGCGATCGCTTAACGCGTCTAACGCTTGCACCGCGGTTATAACTTTAATTCGATCGCGCGAATCAAACACGCGAGATCCCATGAAGTAACCTCACCTCTTTCTCCTTTTCTCTCTCTCTCTCTCTCTCTCTCTCTCTCTCTCTTTCTCTCTCCTCCCATTTCTCTCTGTTAGTATTCCGAAACGTTTCCTCGATTTCGCGATCGAGCGGATAGAAACGTCGAAATGTGAAATGTACGAGCGAGCAATGCGTACTACACCGGATGATAGTCGTGCGAAATTCGCCGAAAATTCGACACAGCGACTACTATATTTTCCCCGCTTTTAATCGACTCGAGTCGATAACTAGGAATTCCAAACGTTCCACGAGGAATAACATTTTGCAGAAAAGAGTAGAATAAGCAGTCAAGTCGGACGTAAGATACGTAACGCGTATTATCCAGTATTTATCTACCACGATACTCGTACGTATACTCGAGCTTACAGGACAGTACGTAAGTGGAAGACGCAATTTAAACATCGTCGACGCGTTCAGCGAACAAACGGTACTTTTCGATTTAAGATCTATCCTTACGACCTACGACTAGATGCACACGTATAGTATAATTAGTGGCAAATAAGACGTGGTATCAAGGATGGTGTGCCTTGCTCGTATATCAAGCGTAATAGAATGCGCGTGCTTTTTTTCTTCCGATATTCAATGTAGGCACGAAACATCGTGAAAGCGGGTCGACGAGAGTAGAGGAAAAATTGGGAAAAAGATTCTGCTCGAATAGATGCGCTGCAAAAACGGCGATTACTTCGAAGTAGCATCTTTTAATCGTGTCGGGTGATTACGTCGATCGAATCGATCGTATCGATCGTATCGAGAGAAACGTATTGAAAGAACGGAGCGTAGGTTTTTGTCGCGCACATCGCCTTTCCTTTATTCGCTAATACCGATTGCGTATCGTTACTTCGCTCCACTCGTCATCGTACAAAATTAATCGCTACTCTTCGTTCTCGGTACGAAACAGTCTCTATCGTTCTGGCACGCTCTCACCCTCTCCCACTCCCTCTCCCTCCCTCCTAGCCCTCTCTCATTTTCTCGAACCGAAACGAAAGACGATTTTATAGGCGAAGCGCGAATGGTATCGCGAATCACGGATAATTAACATAAGGATCATCGAGCGTACGAACGCGATCGAATCATTTTTCTACGAATGAAAACCATCGGAAGGGAATATCGTCATCTACTTATAGATATTTTCTTACTCTCTGCACGAACGAGTTACGCCTCGCGTGTATAGGAAGTAGAGAAGAGAAATGTAAGGCGTATAGTAGTGGACGAGTAGAAAGCGAGTAGACAGTCAGCCAGATCACCGTCGAAAACAGATGGTTCGAATCGATCGCGCGTGCATACGCGTTCGTTGCAACCCTTTCGCAGCACGCATCCACTCGAACCTCGAAATCCTTGGTTATCTGGACCGACGCGCTAGACAAGAAAATTCCTCTAATTTTGATACCACGATAGGACCGGATAGATGAGCCGTTTCGCGAGTAAATCGAAAGATTTCGATCTATTCTTCTAGGATCGACGACGCGTCGTCGTCGAAACGATTGCAGTTAAAGCTTTATGGTGCCGAGCCGTGCCGATTCAAAGTTTAGAAACGGTCGACGGTCAGTTGGCTTTTTCTTCCAACACGATCATCTCGTTAAAATCCAGAGAGAAAGACGATTCATCCGATCGATCGCGTCCGAATACGCGAAACGATAAAGCTTTCACTGTACTTGTATATTTTTTCAAGCAAACTCGTAACTATGCCGATACGGTATCGATTTTTATACGAAACTCGATTTCATTCTTGCTCGAAGCAGAAGAAAGGGGGAAAGAAGGGAAAACGATAGAACGCGCGTCTAACGTTTCCGTGCAAGAGACGGAAAAAGGAAGATGGACTATAGAGTTGAAAATCGAGATGGAGATGGAAACGAATGGAAATCAGTTCGGGAATATGTAAAGAACGCTTCGTTACGCCGATCGCGCATATCACAGCGAAACACCGAAATTACGTACGCCATTATGTACAGCGAGTTTAGATCACGCTCGATAATTATTATCATCGTCGCCGTTTCTCCCTTATCGTTTCCGTCGTTATTATCAATGGCAGGAAGAATATCGAAAGCGAAATCAGCAGAGCGTTCTCCGGATAGAAAAATTTCCGATATTATATACCGAAGAATCGTTATTACCGTTGGAACAAATATTTTTTTAACCCTTTACTTCGTTTTAAATTGTTCGGTGAAAAAGTCTCGAGCGGGAAACATGCAGGCGATGAAAGGGATGCTCCGAAGCGAGTTTTTCCTTCGATTGCCTGTACCCTAGGTCGATACTTTCTCGCGAGAATCGTGTCCTAATCATCATGTAACACCGTAATACGCGCAGAGAAAAAGCAGCAGAGGATTGAATAAAAACGCGAAGGAAATGGAAAAAAGGAAAAACTAGACAGGGGAAAAAAAGGTTGCTTGTGCGCGCACGTTCACTTCGACGCGCCCTCGACTATTCCTTCGAAAGCTGTAAATAATTTGCGGATGTCGGGACGAGACGAGACGAGACGAAACGAGACGAGACGAGACGAGACGAGACGAGACGAGAGAAAGGAGCGAGAATGAACGGTGGAGGGAAAGATAATACAAAAACTTTAACGGATATGTACGAATAATTGTATAAAGACTGATTAGACTTACCTTGGTATTTATTCTAACTCACGGTTAAATTATCGCTATCGCTTTGCGTGCTCTCGAATACTAGCGAAGCACGACACCAAAGGTATTATTCCCTGGTTCAAATTCCATTTTTCTCTTCTTCTTTGACATCTGTCCGCGACACTACTCAACGTCCGCGTACTATTCTCCTCGAATCTGTGACGAAACTCGTGGAGCGAATTTTACGCGGTATCCAGTGGTATCAGCGAGGAAACAATTCGTATCGTAAACCGAAGGAGAATCGCGGCTACGAACTTGCAGCTCTTCTCTTTCATTTTTTCCCCTCTTTCGCCAACGAATTCCCTCTAACTCGCATTCTCCCAACGGCCTATAAAACCATTTTTATCGCGTAGTTCGAAGAAACGCGAAAGGCAAAGGGAATGGCAGAAAGAAGAGATGGACGAGAAAGGAAGCACAGAGAAAAAATCAAGAAAACGTTACGATAATGTTTGTTTCGCGTAGTTAACGGGTCACGCGTTATTACCACCAATCCCACTACACCACCATCACCACCACTTTGTTGCGAGGAAACCTGCGAACGGAGCAAAGAGAAAAAGAAAAATGGTACGCGCGATTATAACAGCGACGCTAATTATCGCCATACATCGTATCAATATTATTCGACGCATCGTATAAGCAAATAACAACTAGATGTAAACTTTGTATATTCATTTACCAAGAGAATAAAGATAAATTATTCGACGTATACAAGTGGAATCGCTTTATTCCCAAAAATGTTTCGCGTTTTCACGTTTTCGCATCGTGACCGGTAGGTAACATCGGATATAGCTTTTATTTTCGCATCGCGATTAACGTAGCATCTACCTGTATATTATAACGTATCAACCTACGATGCATGCAACACACCGGTGCACGCGCATGCGCGCAACCGCACGCACCCGCGCTCACCGAGAACGTACGCAATCGTATATCTATCG